TCATGCACGGGCCCAAAGGCGAGGACGACTGACTGCGCGGCGGGGTGGTACCGTGCCATGAGGGTTGGGCGCAAGTGCCGCCATTCGAGTGGGGGGGGGAACGGGCAGGTTCGGTTAACAAGTCGCCGCCAACCGGATCAACTGGCCTCGTTGTCAGGTCGACCCATCGGCCAGGCGACAGCGGATTGCGGCCGTCCGAATGCACGTCGAGTGGGCGGGAGGAGTGGAGACGGAAACGCGGCGCGGCGCGGGAGCAGACCGAGTCGCGACCGCCTTGCCGACGCTCGTCGTTCGGGTGGTGTGGCAAGCGTCAACCAATCATCTTTCCATCTCGACTGACCGAGTGCGATCGCTTTTTCGGGACCATTTGGCCCGTCTCGATCGCGGACCTCATGACGCCCGGCTCCGGTCGAAGCAACCGGACTTGGGCCATGTGGGGCGCGGAGGCAAGGCAACCAGTTCGGCCAGTCGGGTTGCTATGGCCCGTCTTTTGGGCGGTCATTCCGAGACCGGAGGAGCGCGAGACTGGAGGCACCCTCTCCTGTCCCCACACACGCCCGGGCGTGGATGTGCAACTCGTAAACTCTCTCTCTCTCTCTGCTTGCGATCGATATGGCCCTTTTTCGGCCCACTGACCAGGCAACCAAATATGTGCTGGTGGAACGGGTTTCAACCCTCCCACCCGCGGACAGAGTCCTGAGACCGAAGACTCGGATTACACCTTGACACCGGCGCAAACGCGTGCACGATAGCACGGTGCACAGACACGTCTGCAAGAGGTCGGCATGCACACACGCCGGCGATTAGGCCTTGCTTGGCCGTGTCCTGACGACTCGGCTAAAACGCCTTGGCGACCCGGCAGGGCGAGGCTGGCGGCAAGAGGAGAGGCATCTCGGCCGCCGTCGGAACGTCGAGCCGAATCGCGGCCAGACACCTTCGGCGACCGGATGCTCTTGCGTCGCCCTAGCAACAGAGCGTGGTACGGGGTCGGACGAAAAGGAAGGAGGCGGAGAAGACGCGTGAGGCTGGAGTGGCCTTCAATTTGGTGCCAACACGCGACAGTTTCGTCCAGACGACCGGGCGCCGGAGACTGCCGAGTCACACCCGAACACAGGCACACACACACACACACACACACGGCGTCACTTTGCCACGAGGTGGAGAAAAGTGTTGGGAAGAGAGAGAGAGAGATAGAGAAAAGGCCACGTGGGCGGCAACTCACAGAGGCGTCGAAGAGCAGGTGCATCGTCCGGGCGGGCCGGACGGCGTCGCGGCCCGATCGCCTAGATCCAATGAGGGAAATCAGCTTGACAACAAAATCCTCCGGTTCCGCGCGCCGTCAACCGGCATCCGAGCACACACGCATACACACACACACACAAACAGCGCCGTCGGTGGCGTCTGCTTCGGCGTCGGCAAGAGGAGAAGCGGCGATGGTGGCGCGACGTGCGCGCAGCGGATCGAGGTCGTGCCGAGTGGGCAATGCGGCCGCGCGCATCGGCCCGCCCCGGACGGGCGTGCGGTCGGTCGGTCGGTCGGTCGGTTGCGTGGGCGGCGCAGGCGGGCGAATGAGCGAGTGGCACGAGCACGGTTGACTAATCGGCGCCGTGATTGGCTGTTGCGCGAGGCGGCGTCGAGCAGTCGCCGCTGCGTCGGCTGCGGACGGTGAGCATGCGCGTCTCGCCCCTGCCCGAGACAGGCGGGCGATGTGTGCTCGTCTCTCGGCGCTGTTGCTCCGCTCCAGCTGCTACTCGCCGCGTGACTAAGCCGCGCCTCAACACACCGTCCAGACGGCCTGCCCTACTCCTGGCGCTCGACTCAACACGACCAACACACCGACAGGCTCACCGACTCGTCTGTCCACTAGTGTGTGTGTGTCTGTGTGTCTGTGTCTGTACGCGTGCGGCACAATCAGCACAGACGGGTCGACACAAATCTGGCCTGGCCTGGCCTGGCCTGGGCCGTGGCGAGACGTGAGAAAACGTTACTAATTGAGAAGTACGACAGCAACGTTGCGTGCAACGGCATACAGAGCGCCGGTGTGAGTTGCCTGCTCGTTGTCCTTGGCACCCGGGAGACACGCCGGAGCCGGGGCGCGGCCTGCG